TGCAGACTTTCTTGTTCTTTTTTAAAGTTGAAATCAAAACATATTATTATTCTATATTTTTATAGTAATATAATATAGTATATTATAAGACATCTTATAGTTATCTGTATCGACAGCACGACTTCTTGAGTAATTAAAGCTTAAAAAATAAATTTTATGCTGAATTTGGATTTCAAGTTACTGCTTCCCCGTCTCCGAAAGTATCTGAGCGTCTCGATTCTTACCTTGAACTAAATCTTTAATTTAAAAATGGGTTCGGGGCCAGTTTAAAAAAAGTCATTTTTGTAAGCTCATTCTGATAAAGTATGTGATGTTACTGATGATATGATTAATGCTATTTAGACAGAATTGGATTACAAATCGTATAGTTGTGAAATATATAAATGTATTATAACTTATTATCTTAATAAGTATATTAACTTAATGCTCAAAGAGTCAGAACTCAAACCAGGGGAAAAAAGAAAGAAAAAACTGCAATTAAATTTGTCTATTAATGTAATAACCAATATGATTGTTGTCTATTATCTACCAACACCTTCGCCTGCAATGAAGATAAGTATGTGGCAAAATATAAAAGCTTTAGTAGCTTAATTCTTACGTCAAAGATAATTAAATGGCGTTTATTTTCCAGCAGTTGATATCAGTAAATACTCTGATGCAAATTCACAAGCGAGTCTTTCCCATCTCCAAGGATGTCCAATGCATTTACGCCAAGTCCTTCTTACAAAGCCGTCTGTCCAGCTTCGTAGAGTACGAGCATGTCCCCTCCATGTCAATTGCCTTTTACTTGTGAACTACTTTTAGTAATCCCTATGCTTTCTTCGTTGTAAATTCAATTATTTGTGTCTTACAGTTGACAAAAGTTCGCCAACTCCAGTAGTTGATGCGATAATTTGGGCAAAACAATATGTTTACGGACTGTCAAGTCTTTTGCAGGCACTCTGAAAAGCTGAAAATGATAGGTCCTTAGTAATTTGGCTGCAAACTGCAAGTACATAGTTGATGCATTGCTTCGAACAATGGGAAAATTAATAAGCTAACATCGATGGCAGATATTTGCAATAAATAGTTACAAAGATTCACTTACGTTTCAGGGCAATATTGCAGAAATTCTGTATCGACGGGAGGGGGTAAAAGGTCAACAAAATAAACAAATCTACGTACCAAGTAGTTTCCGTAGTAGTTTCCGAACTACGGGCGTTCGTTCAGACAGACAAACCAATATGCTCTTCTTGGCCTTCCGGTACAGGCTTTAAAATAATAGAAATGGATAACGAACAAACAGCGACAGACATATACAATATACATGAACGCTTTAGATACATACTCGTATAGAAGATTCGAAGTTGGGCAAAACTTTGTATTCGAAGCACCCGAAGGTTTGTTTAGCAAGCAGTACAGTACATAAGTTTTGGAGCAATTACTTCCTTCTAACAATTTTGTAGAGTTGCTAGAACGATTCGACATTGTTGTAAAAGGCTCTAAACATATTTTCCACATTGAAATAAACAACAATAGCCCGAAAACACTTAAATATATCAATGACCTAAATCGCTTTATACTTCCTTTTTTAAATTTACATAAGTATTCATGTTTAAAAACAAATGACTGACAAAATCAACACCGAATTATAATTACATGTTTATTTCGCATGATGCAAATTGCGGTGTAGGTTTATTTGTTTTGGTCAAAAATAACAAAACGGATTTTTGTTTATCTACTTGACCTCGAGTTGCCAAACCTAAATTTAAATTAAAAGGTTCCATTACCGGGCCAAACACGAACTGTTGGGCCACAAGCAAATTCTACTGAGCTTGCAAAATTTGGTAAAGGTTGAATGCCATATGAAAAACTCTACTTAAGTTAATCAAAGCCTTTCATTCAGTCCTGAATTTGTTGTTTATATTTCTAGCAAAAAGTTAAACACTTCCTACTAAATTCAAATAACCATTTCAAATCTGCTCTTATCACTTATATTAGAGGGGAACTTGTATTTTTGGCACAACTTTACAGAAATGATTCTATTTAGTTCTTGTAGCCGAGCATCGGTTTTGGAAATTAAAAAGTTTCTGGCCATGGTCAAGTTTTACTTTCCGCTTCTTCTATCATTTAATCACTTGTACATGCTGGCCCGAATTTCCGTGCCTAATATCAGGGGCTAGTTTTTAGCACAACAACAACTAATGCTGTATAAACAATACGAGTAACAACAACAACAACAACGACTATATACAAGCATATAGTCAACAATCAACGAGTACAAGAACTAAGTAAGCACAACACTTTCGCCAAAATGCCATCGACAGCTGCCAGTGTGAGGGGCCAGCGGTAAATGTTGTTAGCCATGCGGCAATTGCGGGCAAAGGCCAGCAGAAAATAACAGCAAGAGCCAGAGCAACAACAACAACACCAACACCAACACCAACACGAACACCAACATATCTATGAAAATAGTTGTGCTTGTGCTGAAGGAAAACTTGGAAATTGCCACTCATAATTGCCAGTTTTTACAGGCAGCTCCATTACAAATCTTCATAAGTTGAACAAGCAGGGAGCGAACTGAGTGGGCAACGGCAGGGCCAGGGCCAGGGATGGGGCTGGAGCTGGGGTCACAACCACCCACATGGGTCGACATGTGTGCGCCGTTAGCTAGTTAGTTATAACTACATACAAGTTTATGTATGCCATATTGTAAATGTTATAATTTTCACTAACAATTTTGAGCGAACAGAATCGGACAGGGGCATACAAATTTGTGTTTGCGTGTGTCCGTGTGTGTGTGTGTGTGTGTGAGGGTTCGGACTGTACTGGACAGTGGACGAGTACAAGGACGAGCCATTGGGCAGTCGAGAGTAGAGTAGAGCAGAGCAGAGCAGAGCAGACGATGTGAGAGGTCCAGCAGAAGCATGATGATAATTTTTAGCAACTTTTTTGTAGCCTGAACGGAGGGAACTCAAGTGGAGGCCTTCCCCCACTCATTCCGACCCATTGCCCCCCACCGCAAACACATGTGTACTTAAACGTGCTTGGGTTTTTAAGGCTCAGGCATAGGGCAAAGGCGATTTTTTTTTTTTTTTTTTTTTGGTAGTATTTTGTTGTTGGTGTTGTCGCTGCTCGGTTTTTATTTTTAAGTAATAAAATTTAATACATACAGCCACATAGTCGCACTCACACAGATACTCAGACGCACAGCTACACGCACAATTTTACTCAATTATAAAAGTTTCCACATTAAAAGTTCATTCCCGGGGCGGGGGGACTTCGAGGGCAGCCCATCCAAGCCAAGCCAAGCCAAGCTCGTCGCTGCTCATTGCGCTAGGTCGCGTTAGCCGGGCACACGATGCGGGCACTAACGAGTCACAGTTACAGACGGAGACGAAGGAAGTGGGTCCCTCCACAAGCCAACCATACATATGAGCGCCCACATCAAAGCTAAAGCCAAACGTCTGGCCGTAAAAGTTTTTGTGGCCATCACAGGAAAAATTAAATATGTGCTTAGATGTCATCTTTGCATACAGTCCCCCCGCTCCCCCTCCTCCCATCACACCTCCCACCAAACAGCAATTCTACCCAGACTCGCAAATGACTCTCGAACGACTATCGAAGTTTGTACAAGAGATGGTCACGAGCCAGGAAGAAAGGAGCCGAGGATCTTCTGCTGACAATTGCAATGAACTGCTGTACGAGCATGCGTGTGAGGCCATTAGGCTGGGGGCCAATGCGGCAGGAAGTCAATTGTTTGACTGCAGCAAAGTCTAATGAAAGACTTGGCCATGTAAAAGGCATCATTTTTGCGCAGCAGAGACAGCAGCAACAGCAAATACAACAACTGCCGCCACTTAACCCTTTTGTGTCCGCATGCCTTAGCACTTTCCAACTAACAACTGCCTTTCATAACACAGCCAGTGAATTGAAGAAATTCTTGCAATTGCTGCAATTGTGTGTTTTGAGTCACTGCCTCGTGTTATGTTATCTTATTCGAATATTGGAATCTGTCAATGACAGGGATGTAAGGGGACATCCTTATATCGGATATTTTCTGGGATATTTGTAAATAATGCAAACAAACAGCGTATTCTTCTTTAGCTCAAGGCCGTGCAGGCCATTGCTAACGACTTCTGTTAGTTTTAAGATTTTAATTTTTCAGCATTATAGAAATAAATTCTACAAGTATTCTTCTTCTGCTAAAAACAGACTCTTGACTGTTGATAAACCAGTTCAAAACCTTATTTCTGTAAACTTAAAAATGCTTATATTCTTCAATTATATGTGATCAACTAACAAAATTAATGCAGAATGAATATTGTTTTCCATGTTATACAAATCATAAAGGAGAGAACGCACTTAGAAATTTCTTCAAACGAAAGAGTGCTATAAACAAAATCCTTGAGATCATGAACAATTATTTAATTCCAAAAATTATTGATTGATTGAAAACGGCGGCTCATCATGCGAACATTTGTAATATGTAGTTGTATACCCTAAAACGCTCATACAAATAGTATCTTCTTCAAAGATGTATTTTATCAATATACTTATGACAAAAAAATAAATAAAACAATAAAAGTTCTCTGCCAGCCGCTTATAAAATTTCTTAGAATAAAGATAACAACAACATCCTTACGCTCCAAAAAAAAGCTGATGATAATATTAATGATATATTGCGAACTTGAAAGCCAGTTTGATCTACAGTAGTACATCGATATGTAACCTCGGTTTCTAGAATTGTGTTGGTTTCATGATATAATGCGAACTTGAAAGCCAGTTCGATCTACAGTAGTACATCGATATGTAACCACGGGTTCTAGAATTGCCTTGGTTTCATGATATAATGCGAACTTGAAAGCCAGTTCGATCTACAGTAGTGCATCGATATGTAACCTCGGGTTCTAGAATTGTCTTGGTTTAATGATATATTGCGAACTTGAAGCTCTTATTATGGCTTCTGCGCGAGGATGATACTGATATGAGCTCTCCCTCTCCTTTCTATGTCTTTGCAGGTTACGGCGGCATTTCGCCAAGGACACAGTGGGGCCGCATTGCTGCGCTCCTCTACGCACTGTTCGGCATTCCCATTGTGCTGTTGTATCTGTCCGCGATGGGCGAGGCCTTGTCCGCCGGCATGCGCTGCCTCTTTCGACGCTCGCGTTCCAAGAGCAGCGTCAGCAGCGGCAATGCGACCGCAGCAGGCGGGTCCGGCTCGCGAAAGGGAGACAAAGGTGGTGCTGGCAAGAGCGGCCACTATGGCCACCAGCATTCCAGCAAGCTCCATCCGTACGGACTGCCGCCCTCCGTCTACCAACAGCAGCAACAGCAGCAGCAGCGCGAGCAGCAGGGTAAAATGAAGAGTGGCACTGGAGGCAGCGAAAGCGGTGGCAATGGGAATCGTGCGGCTTCACCCAGCGTTCCCATCTCCGTATGTGTGTGCGTGCTGCTCTGTTATATCACCAGCGGCGCTGTACTCTTTCATAAGCTGCAGAACTGGAGCGTACTGGAGTCCCTATACTTCTGCTTCACCTCGCTGGGCACCATTGGGTTCGGTGAGTTGGCGCCCAGTGGCACAGTGACCCTCTACACCGCCAGTGTGTACATACTGGTGGGCATGGCAGTGGTCGCCATGTGCTTCAGTCTCATTCAGACGGAGATTGTGATGTGGTTGCGAAAATTTAGCGTGCAGGATCATGTAATGCCCAAAGCTGAGGAAGTGGCACTCGTTTCGGTCGCGGTCACGCCCAAGCCCTCCTGACAACGACCCAACGCCGAAATGTTGGCCGGCGCTGGCGGTGCTGGCGGCAGCACCTCTGCCAATGCTCAAAGCAACAGTTTGGCTCATCATCAGACAATGTTCTTTGGACCGGCCCACACGCTCACCCAATACAGCTCCCTGCCGCGTCGCAGTCATATGCATAGCGGGGGAGCTGCCACGGCCGCGGCCGCTGCCGCTGCCGCTGGTGGTGGTGGTGGTGGTGTTGGCGGCATGGTGGGTGGTTCATCATCCGCTTTTCAGCGCAACACCCCCATACGCCGCTCCACGGGCATACCGGAGCACCACATGGAATATTTCGTGCCGCGCAGCATTAGCGAATTCAACTTGAGCGGCGTGGGAGATCTGGCACTGCCACCACCACGACGCTACTCCCCCAGCAATATGGGCATGGGCATGAGCATGGGCATGGGCATGGGTATGGGTTTGCCGCATGGCTTGCAGCTGGGACCGCCACAAACGTTGATTTGCGGAGCACCGCCGCCACCACCACCAGCCCAGCTGCAGATTGTGACGCTGAAGCCACGGAGCGAGAAAATGGTCACCTTCGAGGATGAGTCCAAGGCGGCAGCGAGTGGTGCCAGCGCTGCAGGGGGTGCCACTATGCATTGCCCGCACGGTATTCCCACCACGCCGCGCAAATCCTCAAATGCAGCTCTTTTGGGCGCCGGCCCAGGTGCCGATATTTTCATGTGACGCGAGTCACCGCTCAGCTGACCCCTTGGGGAGGCAACCACCGCAGCGGCTGCGATGAAAGCTAACTCACAGGAGGCTGCTGCCGAGCTGAGCGCAGCACTCCGACTACGCGACAGCATTGAGGATGTGCTCTGTCCCAAATCATCTCCAGGGGAGGTGATACGCGTCTAAGACGCCTCTGCAGATGCACACACACACACACACACGCCAACACACAAACACACACACGCACACACACACACATACAACATCATAGAGAGATATTCATTTGAAAAGCGAACATTCGAACTATCACTGTAAGTACTTGCACCCACACAACTAAACCATAACTACGATGCGATACAGTTACGAGTATCTCATGCTACTTATGCAGTCTCGACGACCTTGTAACAATAACACACTAAATAAGTATATACACTCGAAGAAAAATATGCGTTCTTTGGTTCAATCAGACATTTTTCATTTGCCATCGCTAATCGGCGCACCTCTAACGGGATCTGTACGATGTGGACTTTAGTGCAAGTATAAATTAAATATAATTTATTGTACACTCAGCCATTTATTGGATGAAGTAACTCTCAATCTACACTATAAAAAAGGCGAAGCTTACTTTATCCTAATGGAACAAATCCATACAATTTGAAAGGATCTCCTTATTTTTTTAATAAATATAAAATAAATAAATAAATAAATAAAAAATAAATAAGTGCAATATTTTTTTTGTCCGATTATTCCATCTATTTGTTAAGTTCAATGCAGGCTGAAGAAATTTATCGTAAAATATATTGGCAGAATCGTGATTATTTCCTTTTGTTAAATTTTATCAAACAGGGTCCAAGAGGATCCAACGAACTCCTCTATAATTCCTGCCCTTACCACAGAAATTATATCAAACAGTGCACCGATTTCTTCTGATATTTTTGTGTAAAAATGTGTTTTGTTAAACGTTTTGTTTCGCCAGAGGGTTGTTTCTACATTTCAGTTTACTTTCTGTAGAAAACACAACTAACGGACCAATCGACTAGAAATAAATATTTTTTCATGAAATCTCAAAACTTGACTTTTGAATGTGCTGTCCGAGAAGGGATACTGAAATAGTTTCTAAAATAGACAATTAATTTTAGAGCATTTCTACTACAATTTACTTAATTTCTGTCTAAAAATATATACGCTTTATGCTCTCCTTTTCCCCAAACATTTTGAAGCAAAAGGAAATTAGTTTCACATAATTTCATACAATTTTTCTCTGAGTGTACAGTTCTGCAAGCCAGTGTGAAAGTTGTTCTTTTTTTTGGACAGCTTACAATAATGTATGTACAACAATTACGAGCTGACAATGCAGGCGGCAGCATTATGTTTTAATTAAGCGAGACTACAAACACCGAGAACAGAACAACAACAACAGCAACAAGAAAAACAATTGCCCATATAGTGTTAGTAAATTTATGAACATTAAGCAAATATTTATTATTATGTGTGTAAATAAAACTATAAAACAAAAAAACACAAGCTGATGCAGAAACAAAACACCAAAAACAAAAACAGAAACAGAAACAGCAGCAGCATAAACAAAAAGCCATCAAATGAAACAAACAAAAGTTAAAAACAAATAAATAAAGTAAATTTATATTCTAATTGCATAAATAATTGAATGCTGCATGAAGTGTTGCTGTTAATGCCCAAAGTGAAAACCGAAATTAATATATAAAACAATGTATGAATAAATAAGGGCATACTCGTACATACGCAACAAAAACGAAACTAGATGGACGCGAAAAGTAATGTTTAGTTATTGTTTTTTTTTTTGTTTTTGTTACTATTTTTAGTGGCCTTCTGGTAACGAATTGTTCGCCCTTTCTCCCATAAATGTGTGTTTGGGTGAATGTCAACTCATAGTCGCATAGTTGCACCTTAACTTAGTTATAGTGAGGGTATGGGAAAGGGAAAGGGGGGGGTGGCGGGTGGACAGCTTGTTTTGGTGGCAGCTGCACGTGCGTTTGTCATGTCTAAAATCTGTCATACAAATGCCACTCGAAAATTGTCATGTGCATTGTGAATGGCAACGAACAAAATTCGCTGTCAACCGCAGGGATAAGCAACAAATTCGAAACGCTTCGCTTCGCTGTTGTTCGATGTTGTAACTGACTGTTTGATACAGGGTGTCCTGTCCTGTCCCCACATGCGTGCTTTCGATTTTGGTTGCATTATTTATTCATTTCATTTGCTCGCGCTTACTTATTTATAAAATCCATTTGTGTATTATTTGAAATTCATTTCTCGACGCAACGTGCCTCAAAATCGTTTTTTCTTTTTTCTCCGCATTTTGCATTGAGTGGTCGTTCAACTGGCACACAAAGCTAGTCAACTGGGGATAAGGGCAGTCCATTTTTTACAAATATTTCATTAATTTGTACAGATGGCTTCTCTATACCTTAAATACCATAGAACACCCACATGAGATATTAACAAAGAAAATGTCTGGGATTAAGGCCAAAAACAGAGACGATTTATGGCAAAAGTGCAGACCGATTGGTATGCCATTGATCCTTCAATTTGTGCCAAACTATTGGAAATTATGGGTATTATGCGCAGAAGTTTTTAAAAATTATTTCATGTATCATTAATTTTTTGGAATTATAAAATGTATGTGTTTATTTGAGTTTAAATTTTAATTTATATCTTGTAGATATTTTTTCCAATCAGAAAAGAAAAAAAAACGTTTTTCCTGATCTTAATTTTCTCAAAGCTTTTCTTTTTTAATTGAAACATGTAATTTGATAAATATTTAGTTGAAAAAACAGGTTAAAAAAATATTTGTCGTTTTTAGTATTTTTTCCATCAATGTAAACAATTTCCTAAAGCAACTTCAAGCATTTCTACACAACAAATCAATTATAACTTTGTTATTTAATTTGTTTTAAAACTATTGCATAGACTTGTATGCTCAAAATATTCAATTTCTTTTTGATTTCTTTTTAATTTTTTTTTTTATTTATTTATTTATTTTATTTATTATTTACTATTTATTTTATTTACATTACATTAACTTTAGTTGTATACCCTTTACATGTTCTATTTATTAAGAACTTTTTAACCTAATTCCTTAATTTTTGACTCGGAAGCTTGCGTTTCTTTTCATAATACATTTTTCTTGAGAAGCTATCATTTGAAAAATATGATATAAGAACAGCCCGCTATCAAAATTGTTTTGCGAAAGTTTAGTTAACATCAGGACCCTTTTTCATACCAAAAGTACATTTTGAAGGACCAGAATCTGTCGGTGGATTGTTTTTCAAGTACCTCTTACAAGTGCAATGTCTACAGGATATTCCCAACTAGCATTGCGTTGAATCAAGCCTGATGTTTTGAATGAAAGGTGCGGGACTCGCACTAGAAATCCGAAATCTTAGTACACTGATGAATAAGTCGACCATTCACATATACATATGTACGGATTATCGGCACTACTTACCTTACTGCATGCTGCAGTTGCATGTTAATTTATTTCATTTTAATTGAATTTCGTTCAAATGGTTTTTGTTATCACACTGCTGTGCACCGCAAACATTTCACTCTTATCGCAGGCAATAAATTTCAATAAATTTGCCATCAGCTAAACAATTCAAATTTCGCATAAACATCTGGCATTAATGCTGCACATTTGGGTCCCGAGCACAGCAGCTCCCTACATCGTCATTATGCTCAAGTTGTGGCTTTCGCCTGGTTTTTAACACTTTTTATTTTGTTGACCATCAATTAGGCTTAAATGCTTTTTAAATGCATTTTGATTGTAGGTAATTAAGCGCGTGAGTTGATATTTGTTTATTTGTTACCCGTCCGTCGCTTTTTATTATTATCAGACTCGTTTATTTTTTATTTTTTGTGTGTACTTTCAACGGTATTTATTTTATTTTACTTTATTATTTTTTTTTGTTGGTGTTGTTCTTGCGTTTTGTTAATTTTTGTGCGCCCTCGTCGCGAACAGCGCTGCCAACTCGCTTGTTAGTGGCCAATTTGATGCTGTCAACTGAGTGGGCCACTTGATTTTTTACATTTAATTGAAAATAAATTCAATTTTAGCGGCCGTTGGCTGTCATGTGCGTGTGCGAATACGTGTGCATGTGGGTAAGCGAGTGTGCGTGTATTTGTTAAATTATTATTATTTTTTTATGCCACACATAATTGCTGGCGTTAAATTAAAATACCAAATTGATGGAAAGGGAAGAACACACACTTGTACTACTTGTGTAAAAAAAGTGATGCTTTAAATTTATGGGTTGTGGCAGTAATGAACAAAGACAACAGCATCAACAAAACAAACAACAACAGCAGCAGCAGCAGCAACACAAACTCAAATAGCTACATTTCCATAAAGCACTTATGTAATTGTAACAAACATTTCCAATGTGTCATAGTTCAATTTGTATTTAACAAACCAGCTGCAACAAAAACTTGAACAAAACGAAATAACAAAAAGAAAAACGATGAAAAACAACAAAAAAAAAACAAACAAACAAGACACCAAACAAACAACAACGCAAAACAAAACAAAACAGAAGAGAACAAAACGGAAACAAAGCGTTAAGTGTAAGTCAATGTAACTAGGATTAAGCGCCCACTTCGACACAAACACAATGTCAACATTTTATTAATACGAGTACATAAATATCGAACGAAATAAACACAGAGAATGCAAAGCAATTTTTTTTTCGATTCCTAGCGCGGTAAGTTAAACTTTAGTCTAGGACGTTCGTAACTTTAAAGAGAGAAAAACAAATAAATCGAATACACATAAATTTACGTGTACTTTTAGTAAATATGATAAATGTACACATACATACGAGCATATATAAATATATTGCCATATATGCGCAAATATATATATATACATATAACTAAATGTAATATGAGGACACAAAAACCAAAATTTGCATTATACATAATAAAAATAAATAATGAAACTTTAGTCAAACATCAAACCAACAAACTAAACTTCTTTT